TAGGTCCTCCCCTTGACCGTTAGGTTTATTGCCCTTTACCTCTGCGAAAAATAGTTCACTAAACCTTGGCTCTAAAATAATTGGAATACACCTCTTCCGAAAAAATTGAGAATGGAAATTGCCGCATAGCTCAAAAGTCAACGATATCGCTCCCTAGATTGTCTACCATGGATTACACAGCAAAATAGAGGAGCTTGATCTATCAAAACTATGTGCGTCAATTGTGTGAAGTATGCATCTTCAAAGTTCATCAAGACTTCTGCAGAAGTCTCGTGGTCACCTCTGATCAATACCATTCCTCGTTTGGAACTTGTGGTGCAGTCTTTGGTCCACTAATGAAAGATATTTAAGCCATTCACTGCCTATAGTCAAGGTATATTACTTCCTATCGTCATAGTGTTAGCATGGATTAGAAGGACCTATAACAAAACATTTGTTCTATAGAGTATCTTTTCTAGCATGACTGCTGTTCATAGTGTACATTTACACTACAATCGCCAGCTATTTCATATTACGTGGAGCTGATCTAAAGATCTTCTTCATATGATTTAGGTGTATGCCCAACTTTCTTGACTAAGGAGAGGTATTTGACTAATCCTTGTGAAGTAATTTCATCTGATGTGGAATACGTTAAAGACTCAAGGATAATGACTTAGTTAATCTAAATGCGAACTCTAATTCCTTTATTTTAGATCATATACTTAATATCAGTAATAACTATATTCGTATTATTCGTGTGTTAAGTTTTGCTTGTAGATTTATAGCCAATTGTAAGGAAAAAAAATTAATAGGTTCTCTAACTCTTAAAGAATTGTATGACGCTGAGAAAGTCATGATCAGGTATGTACAGTTACAACATTTTACATGATATTCTAGCTTTAAAAATAGAATTGTTTCTTCCAAGTAAGTTAAAATTTTTATGTCCATGGCTTGATAATGTTCCTTCGGAAGTAGAGGCAGATTGCAATATAATCTTAATTCACCAAAAGTTCCTTATATAATGCAAAAGATCATGTATTACTAGATTAATATTTCAGTATTACCATGTTAAATATTTACATCTTGGCGCTCAAGCACTATTGCATCGGGTTCGTAGTAAATTTTGGGTTATTAATGGTCGAGATATAGCTCGAAAGGAATGTGTAACATGTGTACATGAATGCATAACATGTTTTAACGTTAAACCAATTGTATGTGAACAACTTATGGGAAATTTACCTGGTGAGAGAGTTATCCCAGGGTTTGTATTTAATACGTGTGGACTCGATTTTTCTGGTCCATTACTCATTAAGTATAAAAATCAGAGAAAGGGTAATTATGCAAAAGTGTACGTTGCTATATCATATTTTAGCTACAAAAGTATCATTTAGAGGTATAATTGATTACCACAATTCAATTCTTGCTACTATTAAAAGATTATTGCTAGACTGGAAATGCATACTAAGTCAGATACGTACTAATATGGTTGGTGCAAAATCAAACTAAAAAATTGCATAGCTAGTCTTAAATCCATTCTGACATAGCGATTCTTACATCTAAGGTATAAATTGAATTAATTCCACCTTTAAGCACAATTTCTGTGGTTTATGGGAACAAGATATTAATTTAAACTTCTCTTCAGCGTAATCGGCATTTATAAATTAACTTTAAAGAATTTTGGGGTTGTCACACAGATTAAGGTATTCTCATCTCTTCAATTTTACCTTTACAATAGATGCAATGACTTGAAGCTTACGCAGGTCATTTTTAATTGGACTTCCATTATTTCATCTCCTGACCAGATTTGTCTCATCGCACAGATATAGATTTCTAAATGACAAGTTATTACCAATTCATCCCGTTCTTTGAAACGTTGGCAACTGATTATTTAAATCAGCTCAACAACGCACAAATGGTTATTAAAAAGAAATTTAAGCAGTATTTAGTGTGTTAAAGGAAATAATCTTCCCCCATTTAAATGTCTTTAGCTAATTCTAAAGTTTTACATGGTAAGGATAATAAGGCTAGAGTTTAAAGGTGAACATCAAGGGTTTATATTTCGAGGTTTACAAATTTGTTTATTACCTTCCAGGGAAAAATGCTGCTTACTTATATGTTCTTATTGAAATGTGCTTTACATTAAAATAACTGTTTAAAGAATAAGTCGATTGTAGCAGTGAATGTTATGTTCTTGAATGTTTATATTTTCATATTATATTCATGATGCAAGATTATCTTATCTTTCCTATTGGTAGAATTAGTTTTCTTGAATTGTTAAATGTTTGGTTGGAATTTACATGTTGAAATTGCCTTTCCGGAGGCGGCATGTTAAGTTAGAATACATTTCCCCTATTGGGGGAGAGAAACGCTCACTTGGCCATCTGGATTCGGCTAAGCAACATGCCAGAGCATGTATTAGAACTGAATAAATTACTGTCAATAAATTAGTTATTTCGTTTGCTATACAGTCCACTCATTAGTTTAGAATAATAGTACAATCGTAAATACGCATAATCGAAAATTTTAAAGAACATTGGATAGTTCGAAAAAGTTAAAAGATAATTTCAGCATGCTAGGTAGTGTAAAAGTTAAATGCTTACTTTATTAATTCACTTCATTATTTCTGAAGTTAATGAACTTTGTTTTCGTACACTCAAGATGAACAGTTTTCTTAATGTTAAATAAAGAGAGGTTGTTTTTAGAGCTAGCGATATTCCTTTTCCTGCGCTAGAAGCTATATTTCTGAACTACTTAATACAGTATTTAAACGCATGCCTCTATTATTATGCCTTCTTTTCCTTCTCTCACATCCAGTTAAAACGTACATCATTCACTTTAGTTCAATCTTCTCTTCCAATATCATGTTCCACAAATACGATTTACCATAAATTGCTGCCATGATTTTTGATACCTAAGCTAAGGAGACATTCAGTACTTTGGAAATTGCTTCGATAGAAGTTCTAAAAGCAAGGGAAAAATAATATTCTGTTCATGGAAATCTGTAATGTATAACATAATGTGTTACTCACAAAACAGCATGAAGATTACAGCTTAATTACTACTAACTAAGAGTAGAAAAATATCTGCAATATTTTTAAGGAAAGGAAAATTCGTGTCTATGTTTGTTTATTTACGAATCCCAAAAAAAACAAAAAAAAAAAAAAAAAAAGATTTCATAATTAAAAAAAACTGAAATGTTTCAGATTTTAACGGTCGAAGGGTTTGGTAAAGTTTTTGTATGCTCTCGCTGAACTCGCAGCCTACTTAGCCTGCGGTTGCATTCACTCTTGCTAACCCATTTGCTTTCCCTAGTAGCTTTATTATCAAGCATAATGTTTCTTCACATACGCCATATAAAACTCAGCAAAACAACAAAATTTAGAATTCCTGATATAGTGTTAAACGATGGCATGCATTTTTATATTTTTTCACTCTTTTCGTAATTCATTATATCAGCGTTGAGTTTTTAGTAAGATGGCTAGCAAAAATGTCTTGCAAAATGCAATTTTGTCTTTTTCTTATTAACGTTTTGTGTGTTTACTTTATTCATTCATAAGGTTTCTCCCCCGCCTTCTTGGCATGCCTTCGTGGTGTAGTGGTCAACACACTCGGCGCGTATTCGAGAGGTCCGAGATTCGAGTCCCGGCGAAGTCATTGCACATTTTTCAAGTCTCCTGCTTTAAATTAACCTAACGTCTCTACACATTCAATATCATAATCTTCGCATTTACGCCACATAATTCTGAATTCGATAGTAAATCACCAAATATATTGGAAAAAAAAATAATATCTTTAGAACTCGATAGACAATCGCGCGCGCTGGAGATAAAAATATTTTATTCTATACAGTGTTGAAACTGCTCGCTTTAAAATTTTTGATTTCGTTAATAAAAAAATCTTTAAAGTTTTACAGAAATGAAAGAGATGATAAAAACAATTCGAAATTCTGACTTTGTTCAAATTCTGACATTTGCCTATGTTCGTTTAGAGGACTACGTTATTCAGAATTTGATGGTTCTATAGAGCCATCAAAATTTCGAACTGTTTTCGAAACATAATGTTTTAAATGAATTGTTTTTCCAATTGCAAAAAACATTCATATATTCTTGCAGCTTCTTCATTATTTAATATCTTTAAAAATAATGCAGGTATATAATTTGGTGGCAACACTTTAAAAAGTGATATGCCGTTTATAGTGATTCAACGCAAAATCCCGTTTGTAGACTAAAAGACCATTTGGGCTAACCGCCCTTTTGAACTAAAACCTCTAATACTGATTAGATGTTTCCATTATTTTGAAAAACCACTGAACTTGCACCGTATAATTAAGTAATTTCTAGATACAATGTGAACAGGTAACGATTTTATGCTTCGTAACGAATAATATTTCCTCATTTTCACTACCTGAAGCGTGAAAAGAATGATCTGAAATTTTAGTATATGATTATTTGATGGTTTATCAATGTTGCGACCAAGTTAGTGAAACCGCGAAATGGTGGTAGTTCGTCCCTGGCTTCAGCCCATTCATGGAACAGACTGGCAACATGAGGCATTGGTGGTTTTTCTCCATTTTCGAAGTTCCAATAGTTTCTTCTAAAAATAAGGAGACCTTAATCCCTTTAATGCTGAGTGCAAGTATCATAACTGTGCGAAAAATATCGGGCGATTAGGATGAATTTGTTAAAGTCTAGGGAAAATCTCATAAAACAAAACTAACAATTATATTTACAAAATTCAAAAAGTAGCATATTGTGAAATAAAGGAAGAATAAAGTGATAATAACACGATTAATATCAGTATGAAACATTTTAGTTCTTTTGCAATGTATTTGATTTTAATTTTTAAAATTCATTGAAACATTTTATAGCTTTTTTTATAAAGTTCTGTACGAAAGTATTCCTCTGTTTGACACATAACCTCAGGTGCTGTATTATAATTAATAATCATCATAATTAATCATAATTAACCCTCAGGTATTGTATCATAATTTATAAATCAAAAACCTCATGGGTGAAACTTACCTCGATTGGAAATGGGCACATAATCGTAAACAGCTTTGAATCCTTTGTATTCGATAGTGTCATCTGACTTGAATTGTAGCCACATATATCTTTTTGTAGAGTACAACTTGATTGGAAATTCGTGTCCACAAAATTTGCCAAGAGGGGGTGAATAACCATAGGCTCCGTCTCTTACCTCAAGATAGTCGTACTCGCAAGTCGGTGAAGTTTCAATTGAAAAAACGTCCCGGAAGTCCAGCATGACCATGTGACCAACATCAGCTATAAAAGCACAAACAAGCTCCATTAAAACAGTCTTATATATGAAAATCAATTTTTAACATTCTTGTAATTACGAGTATTAGATAAATAAAAGAATTGATGCTATTTCATAATACATAAGTTCTTTTAAAGTCATAATAGGCTGAGTTTCTGAGTTTAGACTATAATTAATTAAGCAAATTTTAACATATAGGGCTATACACAGGGCAGAAGTGTTTTTAATGAACAGTAAATAGCGGAGAAATGTTACTATTTACATTTTAAAAAATCTACTTCCACCACATGACTTCCTTGAAAGGACTACTAAATTCTACGCATAGTCCAAAAGGGCTTTGTCCTTTTGGACTAACAATGTAACAATTGAATTAACAATGTAAAAATGTTGAAGGACTATTGTTTTCGTTTTGCGATTTTGCGTTGGTTCACTATAAACGTCCGTTTCACTTTTCAAACTGTTGTCAGAAGAAATTAAATAATGAAGAAATAATATATGTTTCTCGCGTTGTGATAAAAAAATGGTACCTACAGCCATCCAATTTTGAAGGACGTAATTCTACTGCGAAAATGGGCATCTTGCGACATTGCTGTTGAACTGAATTTTGTGGTTCAAGTGCAAAGAACGTGATATTTAAAAATAAAGTAACACACAACCGTTAAAAACGCCCCTTGGACGTAATTTAAATCTGAAACCTTCAGACTTTTTTCCTTTATAAGTCTTGTAATGTGGTAGAGATTCCGATTAACTGTTAATCGAAATTTTTCGTTTTCAGAACCTCTCTCACTGGTGTTGCGTATTTTCTAGATCTAGAACCATAATACAGATTTCGCCATCTACTAATTGATTCATGATTGAGGAGCATTGTCATCACAATGAAAAATTTCTTTTATATCATCTTCATTTATTACCGCTTCTCTACATTTCTTTACAAAACCCGTTAATTGAAAAATTTCACTTTTGGTTTGCGATATCCGAAAACCTTTAAAATTCGGAGCTATCATCCTGAAACTTAGCTATTGTTAATTGTACATGTTTGGCTATTTATCATGACATTGGCGACTAACGGCAAGTTGTTCCTCTAAATTTTATCTTGCTTCTGTCGCGCACTGAGACAATTAAGCCTGAATTGAATCAGTTTAGTTATTTATTATACTTATGTCTATTTCTTGCACATGTTTAAGGCTTATTTGAGTCCAGAATAAATAAATTTCCACATATACTTAAGGCTTATTGAGGGCCGGCAGTAGGTATCTTACCGCCTGATGCATTCATTCTCTGCGGGTCCTAAATTCTGCTACCAAGCACCTCCCTTTGCCTTCCCTAAACTCTGTCTCCCGGTGTGGCCATACGAGCCATGGCGTTGGTTCTGGGTTTTTGAATAAACAAAAGTTATCTTTAATAGCACTAAATGTATGTAATCTTTTGACCGATGAGTATCACTAACAAAATCTATTTTGTAGCATATGGAAAGAAAGTTTTGATAAATTTTTCCTTGTCAACATTTCTTAGAGCATTTAACTTAAATCTTAATCATCGCCAAGCAATGTCACATAAAAGGTTTACCATTTCCTTTATTTTATCTAACATAAAAAATTGCTTAGGCCTCGCGACATAACTCAAGTTGTCATGTGTTGATAAGCATGCGGTGATGAAAGCAAAATATGATAAATAATGATTTGTCAGGTTGGCGTCGGGGATATAAAATATGTATCAATGATGTATGTATGTAGAATGTTTCAGTTTGAGATGTAGGCCAAGCAGATACATAGCAACGAAGCCAAAAATACAAATTTATGCTAAAATGATTGTTTCTTCAATAACGAGATATTTTATTTAGTGCCGAAGGGAAATTAAGAATCGGGACTCTCCACATGCTTTATTATGCGCGGAAGAAGGAAATCAAATGCGCATGCGTAAAGCACACAAAAAAAAATTTAAGGTTTCAGATTTTAAATTACGTCTAAAGCGGCGTTTTTTTAACATCTTGTGTGTTACCTTTATTTATTAAATATCACGTTCTTCGCTCTTAAACCATAAAATGCAGTTCAATAGCAATATTGCAAAATAGTTTTAAATTGAGCATGTCCTTTAGAATTTCCGATACGCAGTCTCAGGCTCTGGAAATAAAAATGTTTTTTATGTACAACGTTGCCATTTCTCGCTTTGAAATCGTCGAGTTTGTTAATCAAAAATTCGTTGAAGTGTTACAAAATATGAAATCGATCATAAAAAAATTTCAAATTCAAATTAGGGCTTCCACATGACCATATTCTATAAAAGATTACATTAGTCAAATTTTGATGGCTCTAGGTACCACTGTTTTATCACAATGCGAGAAACATATATACACTTATGCAGATTCTTCATTATTTAGTTTTCTTCAGATACAAAACAGGGCGATAATATTTGGTGGCAACGATTTGAGAAATGATACTACAGCCTTTTAAAGGTTTCAACGCAAAATCGTAAAACGAAAACAATATCGTTTAGGGCAAATTGTCCCTTTGGACGGTGGCTTTGATGTCCGGATTTTAAATCATTTCATATATTGGATGTCTGGTTCTCGGACTTTGTACTGTTATATACAAAATTTCAACGTTCTGAGGCTACTCGTTTTTGAGTTATGCGAGACACACATGTACGTACAGACGTCACGAAACAAAAACAGTCTTTTATTCTGTCCTTAAGTGCAGATGCCATGCAAAAGCATCGTTAAATTGCATTCGATAGCGGTCAAAAGGGATATTTTCGGTGAAATATGACACCTAAAAATTTTCACGATTACGATACTTTCTTTACTTCGTACATGGAAGTAATAAATGAGTATGAGTTCAAGAAATAAAATTTAGAGCAATGAAAATGGAGAACATTAAAATCTTACATGGATTCGATCAGAGTAACTGGGTTTCTCAGACATGGACCACTTGTTTCTCAGGATGAATCACCAATTTTCTGAAGGAAAAATGAAATAAATGTATACGCTGCACTGTCTGCGCGACTCCATGTGGTAACTGATGCTGGTTGCGTTTTTTTTTTTTTTTGTAAAATACATTTAACATAAATCTATAAGAACACGTAACAATATTGAAGGGATAGAAACGATTATTATCAGTTATTGTCTTCATTATGTAAGGATCTTGCTAGTGGCAGCTCTCTCTCTCTAGAGGAGAGTTTAGGAGCATTCTGTAGTCTTGCTTCGTCTAAAACAGTTCGCAGACTGAAATTCTCACGCCTTCATAATTTATTGGCTGTATTTCACGTGCTCTGATTCATTACATATGGAACGATATCAGAGGAGCAATTGGTTCGTCACGCTCTCTGAAATCAAAGAGGCTTTGAAGGCGATACAGTTCAGATCACTAAAATTCCTTGATACTGGCCGTGAAGTTATGATTCTTGTAAAATCAAGCAGAACCGTATGTGAACGAATTATTTCTTCTGCAATGTCAGAGCTTGTCGTCTCACACCTCGTAACAACTTTGCACTGTAATGTAAATGTAATGGAAACACTGCGATCTGTCGGGGATCGTACACGTTAATTTCGTTTCTTAAAGTGGTCCGCCGCATACATTTTGATTTTTGAATTCACTCCAGCATACTGCGTAAGGATCTAAGTGTGACATTTTATGTACTGTATCATCGTTTCTCTTTTTCTTCCATTTATATATAATACAAAGCCATATACTCTTAGTTTTTATTACTTTAGTCAAACATTAGATAATTTTACTCTTTGGCTTGTTCTAATTTCAATTTATCAGAAATAATTGTTTTCGCAACCAGTTTCCTCCAATCTAAGAAGACGATAGACCTCACTGTAGTTATATCGAAAGGAGATATGTCGTGACGAATATCCTTAAAATTTTTTTACCAGAGGAGGAAAAACAAAAGCAAATCTCCCGTTTTATTGGGCCCGATTGACGAAATTTAACTTGCCTTTCTCATGTCTCGAAAGTGGTATATTAAATTTATCCATAGCATTGTTCTAACTTAGGTGTTCTGACACAAAATCCGACTTCTTTTGAAATGACATACCGATTTTTCTCCCTATTTCGTTTCCGTGACTTAAATTATGCCAAAGTACCAAGTTTCATACAAATAGTACGAGCAGTCTTTTACAAAATTAACTCTCAAAACTTTAGCTCCTCAGTGTTAATTGAATTTGGTATACAGGGTGTCCCAAAACGACCGCATAAACTCTGCACAGCTAGATTCCTCGTTGGGAGTACATAAAAACTGCCCAAAGAAGCATTCCTGTACGATCCATATTTTACGAGAAAAATACGAAAAATAAAGTATGACGTCACTGCCGGTGCAAGGAAAAAAAAACACTTTATTGGACATATCAATAAATTTCGTCTGGAAATTTATTGACATATCTTTCCAGACAATAATGTTTAAAACTTTCGCCGCGCATATCGCGTCATGCATATCGCGTCATGCATGCGCGTGCCGTGGAATGACGTTAAGTCGCCGTTGAACTGGTATTTAAAAGGCTGCATCTTGCCACTACGGTGTCTTTGTACATTCCATTATTCTTTCGTGACTACTGCGACATGTATTTGATGTACGGCCGATGTAATGGAAATGTCTTACGAACTGCTAGGGAGTATGCTTGTCGATATTCGTCCCGTCGTCCTCCCAATGTCAACGTCATTCATAGGCTGGACGACAGACTACGAAATACGGGAAGCGTCTTGCCAACAGCCAATCTTCAAGATACTGGAAGACCGCGGAGCGGCCTGACGGTAGCACAGGCGGATGCAATACTGTAGCGGGTAGAAGAGACGCCCGAGGTAAGCACACGCGCATTAGCCCGTGAGATGACTTCAAGTAAAAGTACTGTGCACAGGCTTGTACGGTCTGAGAGGCTACACCCATTTCGGTACACATCCGTGCAAGGTCTGAAACCAGATGACTTTCAGAAACGCGTGGTCTTCTGTGAATGGCTGTTTCAGCAACAGAGCACAGATAATGATTTCATTGCACATATCCTGTAGGCCGA